AAATGGCCGAATTGCTCCACAATTTTGAAAGAACACGAAATTAGAGGATTCAGGAACTCACTGCGGAAGTCTTGCTGGAAATGGCATTTGAGACTCGAAATTCAACAGGTTCAAAATCAACCCCAATGAGAATCCTGACGAAGGGACAAATATAACTTTCAGGAAAAAATAATACTATATCTGAATAGCTGATTAAAATGACTGGAAATGCCTTAGAAACTCAACTTCTCAAATCAATCACTTCTTTACCTTAGAATTTTCACAAAAAAATTGATAAGGATGAGAAAAAAAATGGCTGTATAAACACCTCGATAGACACTGACTTACAAACCTCGGAAGGGGAACAATTTGGAAAATTCAATGAAAATACCCCGAAAAACTGAATACGTATTTTGGCAACTAAGTTGCCACCCTCAGTAGAACTGGTCAGAAAATAAAGAGTAGATGACTCTTCAGTAGGCTTCGAGATATTCTCTAGTTGGTGATTGAATGATGGATAAGAACATGTTTAGAACAATTTCTGTTTTTTTTTTCAGTCAGTAAAACTTATTGTTCAAATTGGCGATATACTAGTAATAATTCAGGGTTCAGTTGCTTCAATCAACATTGTTTTAGCGAAGGGCTAAATCTCGATTCATTGGCTATATTATGCAAGTCCTTCTTCATGTTTTGGCGAAAGAGTCCAAACCCCAATGATGAGGACGTTTCCGCCAAAAGATGACAAGAAACGAATGTGGTTTCCGAATTCAAAATTAATATTCGAATAAATACGCGTATTCCAGATGGAAAATCGCTAGACTAAATAATCGTGTTTCCCACTACTAGCTATTTGGAACACACCATTTTAGGAAGACTACGCCGTAAAAACGCTGAAAGTCTATTTTTACGATAATAGTACATTATATACCGCGGGACTGAAGTAGTACATTTAATCCTGAAGGTAAAGTTTATGGCCCGACCGCAGGGAGGGCCATAATTTACCTGATTCGTCCACTATAGTTATGCCACAGTCCTCATTCTCGCTTCCTGTTTCCGCAGGATCTTCGAAACAAACACCAGTTCAATATGAAAAGGACCTATCTGTTACTCGTCAGTTACCTGCTGCATTAACCCAGGAAAGACTGGTCGATATGACGAACTGTCACAATATTAATTTGAATATTAACGTTAATTACCATTCTAATTAATTATATTTTCCAATAAAATATCCCTTAAATTCGTTTGTTTGTGATTTAATCGTTCCGGGAGTTTCGTCAATATTTAATCCCGGAGGGATTAAATGTGACACTTTAGTACCTGTCACAAGGGAGTGAAGTTGTCACTTTAGGCCCGGAAGTACGAAAAATAAGATATTATGGTACAGAAAAATGCGAGTGAAAATTAGAATCAAATGCCCTGGGCTGCTTGACAATATCGTTGATAGTTCAATAGTAGATTGTTATATTGGGATCAAAAGTGACACTTTGTTTGACTAAAGCGAATTTTTCATTTGCGAGGCGGAACGTTCAGCGAAGCCGGAAAGAAGTAAAATTTGCGAGTCAAAGAAAATCACTTCTGTTATGTCTAGCTGGGTAAGATCGTTGATTAATAAAAGAAACAGAATTGGGCCCAATACAGAACCTTGAGGCACTCCCCACCTTATTCATTCAATTTCATAGTTAGCTTGTGACTTAACGAATTGTGTTCTTCCTGAGAGATAGGACCTGCAACAATACAATGCAATGCAACAAATAATCCTTTAGAAGGGAATATTCTACCTGCATACAATTTTTTTTTCACTACTGGTCAATAGTAAGATGTACACTCTCCACGGGAGAACTCAGTCAATGATACCTCTATTAGTTTCGCAACTGGGGGTATTGTGCTCGAACCACAATGTACAATAATATCCATCAAGTATTTCTGAGACAAGAGACGTTGGAGTAATCTTCTTGGCGAGACATTCTGATAGTGCCTAATGAGGAACATTCGAAACTTCGAACTGGTAATGGGTTGCTAAATCTCGGAATATATTTGGGCAAAATCACAGGCGTCTGACAACGCAACAAATGGAAGGTAGGTGTAGGCGAATTTATGTGCATTTGTCATTTATTTTCTTTGAGACGGGCTAATGGCTGATAATTAACAATAATTACCGGATAAATCCCTTACCAAAGAGGTAGACTTGGCTTGAGAAATTAATCTTCAACATTTATAGCTATTTATATATCAAGGGAGCAAAGTAATCCGTTTCTTCCCGAGTGTGAAGTTTGATGCTCCCAAGATATACCGGGTGACACAGGAGACATGTAACAGCTTGTAGTTTTTTTATTTGAAGAGATACAAATTCGAAATTCACAAGGATTATATTATCGATGATGGCGCTTCCTTTGAACCCAATGACAATTTTCTTCAACCACCTGTTTGAACGGAAGTAAACTCAACTTTTTCTTTTTCAAATGGCACCCTGTATATATTTCTGTTGCCAATCTTATTTGCCTTGGAATTCTCTATTCAACTATGTATCACAATTTGATATTCGTTCATTAATTGGCTGTTAAATTGCATTTCATTGAAATACATGAAGTTGGCTGTAGCCCGAATGGAATGACATTTCGATGCTTGATAGGCTTAGAAATCCAAAGATCATCACTTAGACGATATTATCAGAATATTTTCCATACCCTCATCGGACCCAGAAGATTGCCAATAATGTGATTGAGTTTAAAAAAATCATCCGAAAATAATTCAATTGATGAACGAATATCAAATTGTAATACATAGTTGAATAGAGAATTTCAAGGCGAATAAGATAGACTACAAAAATATCCGGGGTGCCATTTGAAAAAAAGTTGGGTCTACTTCCAATGGTTGAAAAAGTTTGTCATTGGGTTCAAAGGAAGCGCCATCATCGATAATATAACCTTTGTAAATTTCAAATTTCTATCTCTTCTACTAAAAAAACTACAGGCTGTTGAATATATCCCGTGTCACCCGGTATACCTATTTGATTTTTTCTACACACACATCTGAAATGGATTGATGACCTGTGATTTATTCAAAAAATTAACCACGTTACCATGGCAACTCAATCTCTAAAACACATTACCATGGCAACACAGTTTATTGAACACATCTCCACTCGTTCGAGTCCCTTCCGGCCTGTCTATTGCAGGAACTGTCAACTGTCATTTTCCAATTTTGTTGCAATCAGAATTATTTTAAAAAATTTTGTTTGTATCAGAATTCTTCATTAAAAATGTATGCGGAATGAAGACGAAAGTGAAATCGAAGAAAATGCTCTAGGTATAGGTACTTGCAAGTTTCTAAGAACTCTAGGCCAATATGAAGCTCTCATCTTTGGGGGCAATTCTATGCTAAGCATGACAATAAATGTGAAACACAATATTCATGTGAACAAAATTATGAAATCAGAATATGGATACAAACCTGAGAAATCGAAAACTCTGACACCTCAGCGAATCGAAGAGTTTTTATCAACTATACGTCAGATGAAATCTTGTTCACTAACGTCAGTAAACAAGTCTGTGTGCGGACAAAAGGTACTTGCCTTCGGAAATAGTCGATTTTTCATTCGGATATTAGTGAATAAAATTTTGTCACTGCGTTTAAAGAATTTTCCTATCAGAGAGCCTTAAAGAAAAATTCACTAGCTTGTCAGTGACAATTTTGTATTGAGGAAGGTTTGGAGAAAAGAAATAAAAGTATATAGAAATAATATAAAATTTTTACCTATCTTTGGGCGTTTTGGGAACGAATCTGCTTCCCTAATTTACCAGTTCATTTTCAGATTTCAGTAGTGAATACCATGTTCTATCTATATCAATAACGACAAATATAATACCATACATTCCCGGCGCATTTTCAGAAATAAAACGTGTTGGTGATAAATTTCAAGTGAAAACTGTGTTCAAAACTGAAAATACAATGAGATCAATTCCAACTCAAATAAAACATAAAAATTAAGAACAGTGTACCTTGTGTTTGTGGAAAGTTTTATACAGGTGAAACCATGAGACCTCTTTCAGTAAGGAAGAAGGAACATAACTAAAATATAAAGGATAGACGAATCTACAAATCGAAACTAGTTGAACATATCCTTACTGAAGATGGACTATATATGGCAGAGTGGAATAATATTGAAATCATTGGAAAAGAACTAAAAGAAGATAACAACCAGAAGAGAAGAATCAAGGAATCTACTTGCATTCTTCTGAACGGAGACAATAGCATTGCTTCCTGTTCAGTTGATATAGATAGAACATGATATTCTCTACTGGAATCTGAAAATATAAATTGTAAATCCAAGATTAATTAATGAAAACATCCTGTAACTCATTTTTCACCAATTGTCACTGAGAACTCTGAAGTGTCAGGACAAATACGAATTTGCCATACAAAAAATCCATTCTATATGTTGAAAACGGAAGCAGATTCGTTCCAGAAACGTCCAAAGATAAGTAAAAGTTGATATTTTTTCTATATACCTTTATTTCTTTTCTGCAAACCTTTTTCAATACAAATTGTCACTGACAAGCAAGTGAATTTTTCTTTTAGGCTCTCTGATAGGAAAATTCTTTGAACGCAGATACATTTTGGCGCATATCACCCGATTTGCCCTGCTACACGTATTTTGAAATAGTATCCATATTTTTATTTCATATAGACGAGGAGAGAAAATCCCAAAAAAATCTGGAATAATGAAATGCACGATGTTATTGATTTTTCTCCAAAAAATTTTGAAAATTTTTGAAAATTTCCCACGATTCCCCAAAATGTCCCCTCAAGTGTACCAGAAATTTTCTGCCGGCAAAACAACAGTTCTGCCTAAAAAAAATACCCAGTATTAAAGTAGAGTCACCTGTTGACGACGTCGCCAGTTGATCGCAAGAAGTCATTCGAAGAGGTGAAAGTGTCTCACGAAGAGAAACACCCACAGAGCATGCGCACATAAGACAAATCGACTCTGTATAGATAAAACGAAAGTCAGCAGCCACTTCACGGCTAGTGCTCGAAATTTCAGCATGGCTGACAAAAGATTATGGCTGTGCTGTTTTTTGCTTCTTGCAGTAGGTAAGTACCATTTTTTTTTTATAAAATATTCATTTGAATTTAAAATCTATTTATATGCCTACATATTTAATGACTATTGATTTTGGTGAGACATCGGATAACCTCCTCAGAATAATGCAAAAGCTGTCATACAGGGTGATTCAATTGTCGATTGACATCAATCATGGAATTTGCATATTTTTCAAAGTTTTTCATCCATATTCATATTCTAAAGTGTTTTATGAAAATTGAACAAACTTTTTTTTCGCTTCTTTCGGTAAATTTTCATGTTTACCCCCACCAATCATTTTTTAATGTATTGAGAAGTTGGTATCCGCGTTTGGTTATAAAAATGCCATCATTATTATATAAGCGGTAGCTTGAAATTTTTTGTTTCCTGATTGTTCGAAAATGTAGTATTTTACTGGGTGGCCATGAAAATTCATGACATATTCAAATGTATACGTCACATCTCGGATTTGCTGATGCTTATTGATTAATCGAGTAATTTCCGGTTTCGCTGGGAGGGACCCCACTTCCTAGTTTCAATGTCATTTTCAAAAAGATCATTTTGAGTATTTGAGGAACAAACTGCAATGTTGAGTATACGAGTAAACTAATCTGAAATTGTGGAAAAAAACAGGATGATTCATTTGGAAATCAACACGTAAAATTTCATGTTGGACCTCTAAAAAATTATAGAGGTATTGGACAATTTTGTGATCAACAATTTTATCGGCAAAATGGATGTCATAGGTACCTATAAACAGGGTGTTTCATTACTAATTGGAAATATTTCAACCATAGAATCCCGAACTCAAAATATGAGGATTTAACCCAAATCACCTAGATAAAATATGTCTCGTGTCTGAGTTACAGGGTGTTTTATTCAAAAATTTTGAAATGTTTTTTGCCCAGTTCCTCAAAACTATTTGACGTATCACTTTCATATTTGGAGGGGAGTGAAGGTATTATACATCCAACTGAATTATGTGAAATGAACTTTTCTAGCTATTACCAGAGGCGTACGACAGGGGCAAGTAACTGGTTGATCCTTCCCAAATTCTACGCCACTGGCGGAATTGCAGTTTTATCTAAATTTTTCGATTCTTCAATACCTTCTTCGTAAATATTGTACTCTTTCTTCATAGCGATAAAGTCATTATTTTTCGAGATATTTCAAGTTAAACATGAAACAGCGCAATTATTTCGATTTTAATGTGTATCCATAATGTCGATATTTTGAATCAATGGACTGCATTCATCAATCGAATAAAACTTCAAACCATATTAACATAAAAACATAACAGACGGGAGCTGTTACAGGGCGTTTTAAATTTTTTAATATATTACATAATTAAACACCCTGTAACAGCTCCTGTCTGCTATGAAATTATGTTTTTATTGTTAATATGGATTGGAGTTTCAATTTATTGATGAATACAATCCATAGATCCAAAATATTGACAAAATTAAGGCACATTGAAATCAAAATGATTGTGCAGATTTATGTTTAACTTGAAATATCTCGAAAAATATTGACTTTATCGAAATGGAGAAAGAGTACAATTTCTACGTCGAAATTGTTGGAGAATTGAAAATTTGTGATATAATTGCAATTCCGCCAGTGGCGTAGAATTTGGGAGGGATCAACCAGTTAATTGCCCCTGTCGTACGCCTCTGGTAATAGCTAGAAAAGTTTATTTCACATAATTCAGTTGGGTGTATAATTCCCGGACTTCCCTCCAAATATGAAAGTGATACGTCAAATAGTTTTGGAGAACTGGGCAAAAAACATTTCAAAATTTTTGAATAATTTTGAGTTCGGGATTCTATGGTTGAAATATTTAAAATTAGTAATGAAACACCCTGTATATACCAGAAACTGATTTCCATGAAAATGAAAATCTGACACGCACCAACTGAAGTAATCAAGCACATTTAGTGTAATTGATTCACACTGAGTGTTCATTTGAATTTTGCGGAAGCGATGTGGGAGCTCGTGTAGGAGGCTATAATACCAATCCTTCCTCAAAAATGAAGAAATGGTAGGGAGTTGCTGAAAAATATTCATTTACGGTTCTGTATAAGAACAAGATTTTATTGAACATGATACGAGCATTATATTAATTAGAGTGAGTTATAAATTTTTGTAGGAATGTTTTTGTACGATCAAATTTTCATACTACAAGATTTCTGTGCCTAGCTCTACTGTGCTCTAACATAGTTGTCTTTATAAAGCCCAATATTTTGGAATTGGTTTGTGTGAAAACAAAATATTTCTGAATTAAAATAAAAATTACCTACCTACATCGCTTGTCTTCTTTATGGAACAGAATCATCTTGTAATCATATTCAACTTTCCTATTTGAGAATATCAATAATTGATTTCAAATAGCATTGTATCATCGTGCCACTTTCTTATAATTTTATAATTGCGATTATTATTGTGAAATATCTGGAAGCTAAGCCACTTTAAGCATCAGTTTCTTTAGTTGAGCGCAATAATTTTACTGCCAATTAATTATTATCCATTGAATGATTATACAATGATATTAATTGGTTGTTTGAAAAGTTATGGTACATACCTCATTCCTTTTTTCTATATCTTTCTCATATTTTTTGCGAGATTAGAATGTGAAGAAATATCTAAGCGACATCTCAAAGTGAGATAATTGTATAATTAAAAAAAAAAAGAACAAGGCAGATATTTTTCCAAATATCCAATTTCCATAGAATTTCCATTTAGGTATTCATGTCCTAGTAAGTATTATTCGATAAGATTTCATAGCTTGTTACCGATACCTACCTTCCCGTTCCATTGATACAAATTGCATTAATTCTTCAGAAGCGCTGGTAAAAACCCCAAGGACGTCTAGAATGTTACCAACAATAGTAATAAACCAACGCGATTGCTCCTTATAGGTAACCATGATATTTGCAAATTACTTCTCGCTCTAACAACCAATAATGGTCCAGTCATCTTTTCTCCAAATGACATTTATTTCCAATCAATTATGATTCAGTGTAGGTACTAATGCGTGTGGTGTTGGTCTGTCGCAATGATTTCAGAGAGGTTTGACCTTTTCCTTTTGTCAGAGGTGTTTTTGTAATTCACGAGAAATGTAGGTAATGCATGACTGTGGAGGATTGGATTGGAGTCCCAGGGCTGGGCAGCGACAAGGCTGCTACAGGGTGAGGCCATGGGCATTGCGCAAATAGAATTTTTCTTTTCGGTCGGATTTCACAACTTCAGGTTCGTTTTTTGATATAATATCTTTTGTCTCGACATTCAAATTTCAGCTGGACATTCTCACTTAAGAATCCTGAAGTTCCATTTGTGGGAAGTAGGTAAAGTCAGGACAAATCTACACTGAGAAAAAAAGGACAGATATGCAACTGCATTTCACTTCAATTGAAATTAAATAATATAATTTCAAACTTCTTTACCATCATAAGAAATGAAATGAAGTATCTGCTATAAAGTTTTATATTTTATTGTTGAGTCAATCATGTTATTCAGGAGTCAACTGGTAAACCAATGAAAACTATTTCACTTTCATCAATATATCTATTGCTGGTAGGTTCATTTCAGGATTTTTTTCTCCGGTAGTATCATACTGTATAGGCATCTATTCATTCCAAATGGTATTCAAATTTTCATTTATTTTGATCTCGACTTTGATTGTTGTTTTCGATCAACCAATATAATGGGCAATTAGACTTTTTTTGATTTCCTAAATAAAGTCATCACTCAAATACCTTTCAATTCCATATTTTTTTGGAATTTTTCGGTCGATTTTAAGGTGCTAAAATCATCGATAATGCCACGGTAATTTTCAAACGGCTATAGAAATTTACCGCAAATGAAAACTGACGTCACGATTTCGTAAGTAGGAGCAGACCATAGCATAGTTGCCATATGTCGAAATACGATTGGGAACATCAGAAAAATTAGTTATTCAATAATTCACAAATTCTCAATTATGTATTGGTAATATTCCTTATTAGCAATAAAAAATCAATTGGCTCAAAATTTTCTCCCATGTGTTATGGCTCTTTGATCATAATAAATTTGTGTTAATAATAATAATATCAAAAATTATAACAAGGCGCATGAATTGTGTGGAGTATGAGAAATATTATGATGGTGTCCCCATGGCAGGCAATTATGAAAATGTCTCATTGATTCGCCTGACAGTCAATTCGGAAAATTTTCAGTGTCGAGGGTTGAGAAATATTGGATAATGACTTGAAAATAAAAGCAATACCAATTTTCAGCACAAGTATGATAAATGAAATATATATTGGTTCTGAAACCCATTTTATTTATTAATAATAACTGTTAATGCGTCAAATCAATAAAAAGTTTAATGCTTCCTTATTATTGCTGTGGATATCCTCAATGTCAATACTTTCGAACCATTGAAGAATATTGATTATCAATATCTATTATATAGGTAGGTACAGGGTGGCGTCAAATACGGACATTTCAGAGTATTAATTTGCCCTTAGCAAAAACTACAAATTGACGAATAAATTATAGGTATCGATTTGTGGTCCACCATATTTTCAAATCGCGACTTCGTACGCACCTTTATATGCAGTGAATTTTCACTAAGTTTCTCTTTCAATTCAAGATGGACAAGTATTCGGTCTACCACGAGCCGAAGAAATGGACATTTCGATGAAACTCTCGTTTTCAATGCGACTTACATAAACACCGATATAGAAAACGAGTTCCAAACATTACTTTCGATTGACCCAGTTTTTGGAGTCTCGTTTAGAATTCTTTTGACTGCTTTTTTTTTCATTCATACGGTAGAGTAAACTGTTTGAAATTCATAGAATTTGTGGAAGAACCCTAAAAGTAATTATTTACTTCTCAATTATATTACAGTATATTATATGCGGCAAATAAAGAGTAATTGACTCCCTTGGGGCCAAAATAAAGGAGAGCGAGATCTTACTAACATAATATGTCAGGTTTCCAAGATACAGGGCCTTGTTTGATATATTGGCCACCCAGTGAATAAACTTGCGTTCTGAAACTAACTATAAAGGACGAATATTTTCCGAAATGCACTGACCTGAAAGAAAGTTATATTATCACCGAATACATTCATAGAACACTATATATATGATGTTATTTAACCAACTCGTATAATACATTTTTTTTCTAAAATTTGTATATCGCTACTTCAAAGTTGGGAACCAACTCCGCAGAAGTCGAAACTTGTGCGAGGTTAGGAAGAGCGGGACCTATAGCTCATAGTGGAATTCGAACCACTTCTAGGGCATCGATGTGCTTATGACAATGATGAATAATTGTTATAAATATGGAAAGTGAATTCATTTTGTGTTAAAATACTAAAAAACAGGGATCGAAATCAGTTCAGAAACGTTATATAAAAAGCTAAAATGTTATAAAATGGTATCTGAGTGTGATGCTACTAGCTGTAAAATTGTTGTCAATGCCCATAGTCGAAAAATCGCTGTATGGGCTTCTACCAAAGAATAATAATATTAAAATAAGTCTCAGTTGAGTTCAATTGAACCTTTATTTCGCTTTTATGAGAGTATATTTTTCATTTTTTGTGATGTAAATATCCCATGTCTCATCGAAATTTCACCGGCATCCTATGGATTTTCAAGTTTAATCCTTGTAGCCTTTGCACAAGACGATGATGAGGAAGGTGGAGAAGACTCCACAGCAGAGCAACTATGCGAAAACAGGCCAACAGACGAATATTTCAGACTGAAAATCGACAGAGACTGCAGAGAGGTGGTCAGGTGAGTTGACGATGAAGCCTATCTGCATTGCCGTAACTATAGAAGTATTTTCTGGCACAGTGGCAGAAAATGAATTTTTTTTAAAAAAAATAGGATTTTTTCGATTTAATAACTTATATATACAGAGTGAAAATCAATTGATGGCTGACAATATAGAATATGGTTCCTAAGCTCATTTTAAGAAGAGAAGTTCATATGAACATATTCCCTAAGCATCTTAACTTTCGAACTATAGGGTGTTGACATTTCATTTTCTCTTAATTGATTGAATAAACTCACACAATGTAAAAACCTGTCACGTTTATGAATACTTGTCAAAATAAGACCGCAACGTAATGGTTCAACTGTCATCATTTCACATACAAAATAGGGCATTAGCCTACTAGTTCAAAATAATTCCGTTATGCCACAAATGCATGAAAATTGTTTTTCTTTTGCTACGCGAAAACGGTTCGTTGGTCAGAAAAAAATCGGGGAGTCAAATTGTTGCAAAATATATGAGGATTTAAAAAAACATTTTTATTCTCGGAAAAATCGAGGAGGTTCAATATTTTTCTCAAAAAATCTCCAGGATACATCCCCTACTGGTAGAGATATTGAAAAATCTTCTGCATCAAGAAATGCCTATTGGTGCTTGGTGGGTGCATGTCAAATTTCATGGAAATATTTGAAACGGTAGGTATTGAAGTTATGAGAAGAAAACGAATTTATTCTTGGAATTTTATCTTTATAGGTCAAAAGTTAAGAGGTTTAGGGCATATGTTCTTATTAACTCTTCTCCCCAAAATGGGCTAAGGAACCATATCCCTTTTTTTTCAGCCATCAATTAAATTACATCCTGTATATAGGACTAAGTAAGTAAGTAAGTAACTTTTTCGCACGATTTTTGGTGCGATTTTACGTCTCCGCGCGATTTTTTCGGAGGTAATACAACGAGGTCTCAGATCTAGCCGCATATTTTTTGTGATTGTGTTAAAATACTTACCTACATTCATTTTAAGGAGAGCTGTTTAAAAAATTACGAGAGCGTACAATCTTTTCACCACGTATTCGTTATGATCTCTCCCATTCTGTTTCTTCATAAAAATATGGCAGGAATATTGATGAAATGGGGCTTCACATTTCATCAATATTCCTGCCATATTTTTCACTGACTGTTCGGTTTCCATAATTTCGTTATTTACAAAATTCGCTGAATTGGTTCCAAATGGAGGAATTTCTTTTTTTTTGTATTATTTGGAAATTATTTTTCAATGTCCTTTACTATTTCTGCCTCGCAAATATTTCCAAATTTCCACATACCTACTACTTACTACTTACCTGAAATATCATTTGCTGTTAAATTCTTTTTTTTTTACATTTACAATAATTGTCAAACTGATGAGATGTGCAACACACATGATAAACGAACAGTAACTAGTGTTGCTATAATGATAATAATAAAATTAATATTAATATTTATTCAAAAAAATTCAAAATATATAAAATACAACTACAATAAGTTTTTACAATTACAATAAGTATTACAACAAGGTTCAAACAACAGTGAATAAATATTGATAATCTACTATATAAGTCTTAGGACTTGTTCGTAGATGCACGTGCATTCAAAACTTCTAATTTGAAGAGAAAATTCATAAATATGAGTGTATCTGCGTATAGTATAACAATTAATTAGAATATTGAAACACAAGCAGTTCTCCTCTAAAAGAAAAACTTGTACGTGAAGACCGCTCATCCAACTAGATTATATGCTAACGTAATTTATCCGATATTTTTGTCCACTATCATTTCTGTTCCTTCCTATCTCAGTGGAATTGTTGATAAAATCGTGCGGAAAAGTTACTTTACCACACTAGTGCTGTAAAGTTAATTTTCCACAGTATTCTTGTTATGTTGAAAATGAGGATATTTATAGGACTAAATGATCTATGAAACTATTCTGTCTTCTGTGTCATTTTGTAGCATTATTATAAAATGTTGTTTATTAAAAACCTTTCTTTTTTCATAAACGATATGGACAAAAACACTCGTAGGAAAAACATTATACCTAACTCTTGCGGAAGATGTCTTTTCCACCCTTGCAACTGCCGTCGCATGCGGGAAAGCACTACTTTCCGCACTTGTTTGGTAAATAACTATTTCCTGTTCATTGAGTTTTTGCCAATATTCAGGTGCGATATGAACTCAGATGCCAATGGCGTCACTAGACTGGCCGCGGTAAAATGTCCAGCTGGATTGGCCTTTGATCTCGATCGACAGACTTGTGATTGGAAAGTCAATGTCAAAAATTGCGATCGTTTAGAAAGTAAGTCGATGTAGAAGGAATAGTGACTTTTCGAACCCCCGCGCATATCGACGAAGAAGGTTTCACGTTTTTCAGTCGTATTTCGTTTTTTATGTTATCGGTGAAAAAATCCTTCGTGTTTTATCTCAATGATCTATGAGCACCACCAATTTCCCTTTATTACGAATGTGAATTTGCACTTGGGCCTGACGTATTCTTGATGGATCGCAAACTTCTGAACACGCGAGTCAAGAAGGTCAAGTTAGTCCGATTATACAGGGTGGTGTCTGTGAAAAAATGTGAATTTGTTAACGCATATTATACAGGGCTTGTCATGTAACACGTCCGTTATACAGGGAGTTTCCTAATCTCGTGGGAAGAAAAATGATTCCTAAAGGCAGCTACGCCCCGAAATCGTTCATTCTAATGTCATGAAATTCAGCACACCGGGTCAAGAAATTCAAAAAATTCTGAGGCGTACCATACTGGAGGAGTTGAGGGTGAATACAATCCATAAATTTCATGCTATTTTTTTTCACATACTGACTTGAAGGAACGGCACACATGTGCTTATCTCAACTTTTGATTCACTATTTATTGATATTTAATCGGAACGGATACAGGGTGGTTCGAGATTCAGAATTCTGATCACCTTGTATCTATTCCGATTGAATATCATTAAATAGTGAATCAAAAGTTGAGATAGGGACATATTATGTGAGCCGTTTTGTCCGATAATGAATAGTTTTGACACAAATAAATCCTAAAGTTGAAAAATCTGGATTTTGAACACCCTATATCTCTGTAATCATTTCCGATAGACCCCAAGTTTGCTGTATCAATGAAATCAGCTCTTCATAGAGGAACTACTAACAATGCAATGAAAAACTGGGTATTATTTGAAATAACAAAATTGTTGCTACTTTTTGATAGAAGCGGCAACAGTGCATTGATGAAATTATTTTAAATGAAAAGAACGTATTGTAATGTATAAGCATGCATATTTTCATATATTTCTCCCGACTGATTCTCGATATAGAGATAGTGTAAGCTCGTCATGACATACCTTGTATTTCAAACCAATGACACCAAAATATTCGATTCTGATACATTGAATAAACAAATTGGATTCTGGGGTCAACTTTTTCAACATCTCATTAGAGGCGTATCATGGTGCCAATGCATCGAAGTATAAATTTACGATTTCTTCGAAAAGTACTCGCAAAATCGAAATGAAATGGGAGTATATTTTTGACATAACAATCCTACAGGTATCATATTATTTCTGATATCAAAATATGGAGAAACATATTGAAAAAGATATTGTTATTGTTACTCTCATCCCCTTAAGTATGGTACACCCGTGATTGAAAATTTTAGCTCAAATGCTGATCCAGCATCAAAAGTTTATGCTATATTTTAAGGACAAAACGGTCTTTGACGTATATTTCATTAATTTTCAGGAAACACCCTGTAGAACTTCTCGATGCTCTCATGTAGAAAATGTTGAGTTCACCCTATAGTAATTTAGAATATGCTTAACTTTTTTCGAAATTGTATCTTTCAAATTTCAACCAGAGATAAAATACATAATGGTCTTCAAAGTGAGATTAAGAATAGCAATAAAATTTCTTGTCATCTGGAGGTTTTTGAAAGCCCTGAAAGTAATTTTTTCAAATCATGTGCCCTATGTATATCTTCCAACTCCTATATTTAATTCAAAACATGAGACTAGTCACTCGAGTATCACATAAAAATTGTTTCCAAACTTCAAAAATGGATGCCCATGGGGACCCAAAATGATAATATGGCAACGGATTGACCTCCTTCTCACGTACACCCTGTATAATCAAAGGTCGCCGCAATCGTGGGAAAATCCCCAAGGATTTATGAACGAGCCATTGAAAATATTGATATTTCGTGCTTAGGTTCATGAAGGTCACTACTCCTTGGTCAATATAACCGTAATTAAGCGAATGATTTTGACGTACAGGTGTACTAAATCCGGTCTAAAACAAATCACTTGTCCCAGTGGATTGGCGTTTGACATCGATAAACAGACCTGTGACTGGAAGGGCAAAGTCACAACTTGCGATAAACTTGAGAGTAAGGATTCAAGGCTATGAGAGAGAGGCTAAAATTTTTGGGAAAAGCAATTCCATTGGGTATCATTCCCAATGGAATCCAGCATTTAGTAGAGCTATCATGGACGAAGGCAAATTTCAAAGTGGTTCAGGAATGGGCAATAGTCACACGTTTAGATTTCAAATTCACAGTTTGAGAATATAATCAAGAATATACAGTAATCATGTGATAGTACTATTTGTCGCCTCGACGATGAGACATTATTTCGAACATAGTACTTTCAGTTCATGCACTGTATATTTAAGAAAGTAGTCGCTATATAATAATTACAATGCTTTTTGTGTAATAAACTTCTTGTTGCATGAGCTTTGTTTGTGCTGCATGTTACAATATATCTTTTTTATTCGTTCTGAACAGTTGCACATAAAATTTATATAACCTTCTAACTGTATACTCGTTTGCATGATACACTAACATTCTACTAATGAAAGTATTAATACCACACCATTTTCTATTTTCATTAGTTATTACCTATATACCTATTCTCTGTGCCTACACTATCTAGCATTTCTTTGTTTCTCACATTTACCTATACCTAATCAATGGATGATTATATTCCTTTGTTTCAATAACATAGGCATGGTCGATTGTTCACTCTGTGTCTATTATGTATGAATAACTATATCTCATAATATTCTAGAATTACCTACCTTATCTCGTTTGCATTTGACTGCTCATTTCTATGATTCTATTTTCGTTCTCTTACATATCCGCATGTTTCTGTACTATTAAATGTAGGTACCTCTTACTCCATCACTTATTCCTTCTTCTTTGTATTAAAACTCCCATTCTGAATAATCAAGTGAATATTATATGCCTACTTTCTTCCTTGCAAACTGAGTAGTTCAAACATTTGTAAATATGTAAAAAACGCCAATCAACATATCAAACATTAAACCTGTACAGAAAACACATAACACAGAGCCAACCACTGACTCATCGACATGAAATCTCAAACATTAACTTTTTTAGAACCAAGGAAAGTTCTCCCTATCTTCAAAACCGACGAACCACAATGCCCGGAAGGCCAGCTCATGTGTGGTAACAAAGAATGCATCGATAAAGATCTGTTTTGCAACGGCAAGCCAGAATGTAAAGACGAATCTGACGAAAACGCATGTGGTAAGTCCAAATAAGACACAACCCGAAAACATGATCTAATTATTTCTCGTTCAAGATGTCGATACCGATCCAAATCGCGCCCCAGACTGTGACCCCACCCAATGCGTTCTCCCAGACTGCTTCTGCTCAGCCGACGGCACCAGAATCCCTGGTAGCTTGGAAGCAGCCAACGTGCCCCAGATGATCACCTTGGCCTTCAACGGAGCCGTCAATGTCGACAACATCGATCTCTACGAAGAGATCTTCTCGGGTCTGAGAGCCAACCCCAACGGTTGCCAAATCCGCGGTACCTTCTTCGTCTCCCACAAATACACCAACTACTCTGCGGTGCAAGATTTGCACAGGCGAGGACATGAAATCGCGGTGTTCTCTCTCACTCACAAGGAAGACCCCCAGTACTGGTCCCAAGGCTCGTACGACGACTGGCTGGCTGAGATGGCAGGAGCCAGACTCATCATCGAGAGATTCGCCAATATCACTGACGGTTCCATAGTGGGGGTTCGGGCCCCTTACTTAAGGGTCGGAGGCAACAAGCAATTCGAGATGATGACTGATCAGTTCTTCGTCTACGACGCCTCCATAACAGCTTCCTTGAACCGAGTGCCCATCTGGCCTTACACCCTTTACTTCAGGATGCCGCACAAGTGCAATGGCAACGCTCACAATTGTCCTAGCAGAAGCCACCCCGTCTGGGAGATCGTCATGAACGAGTTGGACAGGAGGGATGACCCTACCTTCGACGAGTCACTTCCTGGTTGCCACATGGTGGATTCCTGCTCTAACATACAGACTGGAGACCAGTTCGCTAGGCTGCTGAGGCACAACTTTAACAGGCATTTCAACACCAACCGCGCTCCTCTCGGTTTCAACTTCCACGCTTCGTGGTTGAAGAGCAAGAAGGAGTTCAAGGACGAGTTGATCAAGTTCATCGAGGAGATGTTGGCGCGCAACGATGTGTACTTTGTCACGAATTTGCAGGTTATTCAATGGATGCAGAATCCTACGGAGTTGAACGGGCTTAGGGACTTCCAGGAGTGGAAGGAGAAGTGCGATATCAAAGGACAACCCTACTGCTCTCTGCCGAATTCGTGTCCTTTGACCACCAGAGAATTGCCTGGGGAAACACTCAGGTTGTTCACTTGTATGGAATGTCCTAACAACTATCCTTGGATTCTGGATCCGACAGGAGACGGTTTCTCAGTTAGGAAGTAATTTATTTTTATTTTGATGCTGGCATCTTGAAGGCGATTTGCCAGTGGAGCTGAATGTGTTATTTTATTTAAAAGACTTTGTATATAGCTGCGAACATCCTTTTTTTTCTTTTTGTATCTTCTGTACTTTAAGATCTTCACGCGACTTGCCAGATCTAAAATCTCTTAGTTTTTCTTACAAATTGTAAACCAGAAACAACGTTATGCCATGTAATGATGATTGTTGAATAAAAAACTCGAAAACCTTGACTGCTATTTATTTATGATTCTTTCCAGGAAGAATAGATAAGTGATTTTATATATACTACATATTCAGATTCTGTTAATCGAATAGCGCTGAAAGAAAGAATAATTCATGACATTATTTCAATAGTCTGCCTATAAATAAGATTATTCAAATATCAATAATATATAGGTAAGAATACTTGTAACCGATTTTAATGGTTATACATTCTCAACACACCTATTGTTACGTTTTTTTCACAGTGTGCACTCCTTGAAAGAAGAATGCAAGGTGTATTCGTTGCTACATCGAATTAATTAAAAGATGGGATCAGTTCGATACTCGTGCATTGAAAAGCACTGACCAAAGATTAAATGTTTCAGATAACACAGACTATCGCATTTTGGAAAGTGATGGGATTAATATTTATAGTACTCAGTTACATTCAATATATCTCCATCCATCACTCTTGATGACCTTTTCTGATTTTCTTCGAAATTTTTTAAAATTTTGACATTTTCGATCATATTTCCTCATTTTCAGTTAATCTATAACATCAAATAAAAAACCGAAGAAAACTATATTCATTCAAAATCTGTTCAGAATATTTATTATCAAAAACAAAATGAATATAAATTTTCCGATAAAATTTCTCTCGGCATTATGAGGTGGGTACATACATTGGTAAATCACAAAATATTTTTCTCGGTCGTATTAGAAGTATTTCTTCGATCAAATCACACAATAATGAACCTGTCAAACCATGTCAACTCATATTTCTAGATCAAAATCAGTACTGATTTAGGCAAAATAAAATCTTCACAAACATCATTTAATTTTTCAAACCATATCGAATGAACAAAAATGGCAAAATATTATTCAAAAGTGGCAGAAGTGGCACAAATCATTGAAACAAACCCTGTCAACTGTCATTCCCTTTTCTGCTTATCTCGTCGTCTCGAATATTTCAATGTGAATTCAAATCCATCATCACCAAATCATGTGATCAGAATATCTCCATATAAACCGCTATGACTATGTTCAACGCTAGAATTCCGACACGTCGTTAATCAAGTTGAAATGTCGCATATTCACCTACCCTGAAAACTCTAAATTTGGAGTTTTCAGCGACAAAACCGCCAAGATGGCAACCCTGCTTCTGATGAGACGATAGAGACTTTCGATTTGACCACTTACGACCTCTGTTTGACATTTAAATAGTCACGAGAACTGCACTGCACTTACCTTATTTCCAAGTTGATTTTGTCGATAATTTTCGAAGTAAACTGCACTGCTGTTAACATTACCAAACTTTTCACTACCAGAGGGCTCTGAAAAACGTCGACATTCTTCTTGTGTTGCTTACAGAGATCTAAGTTTATTTCATTTTCATTTGTTGATTCTCTACATCTTTCTTTAGGCGCGATCAATGTTCGATTTGATACTTCAATGTGGTGAATTAATTTTTGCATATCACATAAGAACAAAAAACTCAGTCCACTCCATTGATTAAATTATTTCACATTGAAAATTGAATAGATTGAATAAGTAGTTATTTTGTACTGCTCAAAATGCTACTTTGGTGATCTAGAACTAATTTTAGTCGAGATTACCAAAGTATTTCGCGCACGAGTTGCAAACTTCTCTACAAACATGAAAAATATTGTTCTAAAATAAGTAATATGCCTAGGTTAATATGTTGAACTGGCTCAAAAAAGCCTTCATCATTGTTAAACGTTTAGAAATGAATGGTTTCTTGGATTTTTGCTAGATTGAGGACCATAAACGTTTAAATATGAAAAATACATTAGGTATTGTTATCAATGCGCGAACATTGTAATTTTTTGACGTTTGTATGAATAATGAATTGAAATATGAGAATTTTTTTCAACCATCAGTTAATTTCGTTTTGCCTTGCGTCTTCTCACTCTTATTTTGTCAATTCCTATCTCTCTAGGCACCATCTAGGAGTTGATAGCATCAGATCTTTGGTTCACTGATTCACTTCAATATACCCATAAATCTAGATACGGTAAGTAACTAGAAAAGAAATATCCAGCTTGTGATTTCGATGAAATGAACACAATGTTTTTTCGCATTACGTTATATCATACACAACAATCGTTTGTTTCCTGTTTGTAAAATTTGCCGCAAACTTCTTCTACAAAGCTCTTATAAGGGTATGGATATTGGTCAAAATAATGGGATGAATAGAGACAATTTTTAAATTTGACATATTGGTTTATTAACTCTACTATACTCAGAAAATCAGGGGTATAAAAACCCCTTTGTATGATCTACTGATCATCATCACATCATTAGTTTATTCTTATATTTATCAATAAACAATAATATATCAATCGATTCATTATGTCTATAAGACATAACGTGAACATTAGAACTTGACAAAATGTTTGACTACTTCATTACAGTTTTCTCTTATTAAAGATAAAGAACATAATAATTTTCGTTTCCATTAGAATACATATTGGAATGAATGGTATCATTCGATGCAAGTATGGCACAATAAGAAAAGATCGAAACACAAACCTTGTAAAAAATGACAAATGATTGAAGGCAAGGACAGTCGGCTCGATCCATAAAAACTAATCACACACTTTATCAAATCTGTTCACACAAACCTAGACGACAGGCATTTAGAAGCGTTCGTAACATGGCCCCAAAAGAATGGTAATTTTTATACAACTTTACAAGAATAAACAATTTTTAACATCAACGCTTACCTTAGTGAAGAAACCAATGTGATATTTTCCAAAATGGCCCCGAGTCAAAACAAATGAATCATCCTAAATGCCTGTCGCGAATTCAACAATAAGGAGAAAATTCGCCCAATACCATGAATATTATGTATTTTTGTATTTTTCAAAATATCATGCATACACTCTTAATATTTTACATTCAATGATCATTACATATATTTCAATATTATACATTATATTTATATTTTTCAAAAAATAATCTGTTAATTTTTATGTTAACGTGTTCTCCTTATTTCTGAATAACCTCGCCTTTACAGGATTATTGTGAATGAATTCCTAATATTAAATGACAAATACAGAAAATTATCTAGATCAATCCAAAACTCTTCCTCCTACTGACTTCCATTCACTCCCACTCCACAAGTTCTAAGTTATGTTTATAGGATGAATATCAATCTTATCAACTATCAATATCGTTATCAAATCCTCACTCAATTCATCAAATCTGACATACAGTATTGAATGATCGCAACAACGAAGTGTCAACTTCAGTTCTCGATATGATGGAGTTTTGGTGAAATCTCGACTATTTTTTATATTTGGGCGAAATTAACCAAATAAACTTCTGACGGTTGCATCCGCTTCCAGTTGCTATTCAACAGAAAGGGCTGTGGGAAAACAATCGCTTTTGCTTTTGTCCTCCTTCAGATAGCGCAAACGGTAAACGTCTGCATTTGTGATGTGACTTAAATAACAATCATTACTAAAAATATCACAAAATTGTTGTTGACAAATAGAAATAATAAGGAGCCACTATAAATGTATGTATATAAAGTATATTCTTACAAATACTTGAATATAATATTTTAAGAGGAATTAGAGAAAGAGGTCCTTTCTGTCTATATCATAGTGTGGCTCACTTCACCAGAGTAAATCTTCAATTAGTGTTAAATTTCAGGTAATTTTATCGGTGTTTTTTCTTCTAATAATTTTCCAATAACAACAACTACTTTGGACCTAAAAGTATTCAAGATGGCTGCTTCAAAGAGTAAGAAAACCCACACAAACGTAACTACTAGTGTCTGTTACCTAACAACAAATAAAAATTCAACAAAAACACATAAATATATAAAAAAATATAGTGAAAATTTAAAGAAAAAAACTATGTAAGAACTGAAACAAGAGGCAACTGACGGGCCTTAGGAAGGAATACCTATAACAATAATTTGGGATGGAAAAGTGTTAGTTTCGGAATTTCTGTCAGCATAGCGTTTAGCAATAGCTGGCAAAGCATAGCAACAACTATTTCTGAAATGGTGCAGGAAACAATCAGCATCAAAATCGTGACAAATCAAAAATTTTATTTTTCTCCCTCATTTTGAACTAAATTTGAAACTCATGCCACAATTTCAAGATGTGAAAGAAACGACTTTATGTCGAAAAGGGCCTCAGTGAAATAACCAAAAATTTTCAACGTTTTTCTTATCAACAACAATCATACCACAAAACTAACCAGTTTTGGGGTGATAGAGGAAAACATCAAATTTCGTATCTTAGATATATATATCAATAAAAATGGAAGCCAAACTGGATTAGAATTCATATCTTCCTCTACAACTCCCTCTTAACAATCTCAATAAAACAATACTGGAAATGTCATGATTTCATCGTGTAAAAAAATCAAAGCAAAAGCGAAAAGATATATAAAGAAGCTAGGGGATCTTAAAAGTTAAGAAAAGTCATCGAAAAACACAAACTTGCTAAGGAACAGCTAACTTTATATCTACGTTAAGTATAGAATAAGTGAACAACCGTACTAGGGACATGCAATATAATATATTGTTAGGAAAAATTATTCTAGGTTAAGCTAACTATGGACTAATCATAACAATATAGCAATGGGTACATAAATACGTATTTTTTCATCTCCTTGTTGTTGACTGCAGATAACATAGCCGCCATTTTACCAGAAAATACTACGTTGAGATAAAATGTCAGCACTTCAACAATAAATACCAAATGGATAGTGTTGATGATTGAATTTAAATGAAAAGTAAAATGGAATTATTTGAAGGTTGCATTTTTCGCTAGAGTATCTTTGATTGTCGAGGAACCGGTGCAATACTGAAGCAATTATAATCCTTTAGATATTCACCGGGGAAACACTGAGTTATCTAACGTGCGGTAATCACTATATCGTCTGCACTCAACACAAGAGTCAGTCAACTACATCCAAAGTTATCCTGGACTATTCAGCAGGCAAATAATTTCATCAGAGATATCCAGCGAGTAGTTTCGAGTTT